GCAGGCGCTGCAGGAGAGCCGGCCGGCCCTCGGCGGGGAGGGGGCCCTGGCCCAGGTCAGTGCGGACTCGGGGGCTGCGTCTCCAGCATCAACGTGCCGCGCCTCAAATGCATCTCTCTGCGGCTGTAACTTCGCTCTCTCGCTGGTTGGAGTTGGCAAAACCCAGTCTGGGTCCCCTGCTTCTGCAGCTCCTGGGGGTGTTGGGCTGTGGAAGCACTTGCCTTTGGGCCCTCGAGGGGGCAGCTTCCTTGTTTCCTTCACAAACTGTGTGAATCATGGCAGAGGGTGGGGGTTCCTCATCTGTGGTTTTCAGAGCTGGTCTGTCGCTGACCTCTCTTCAGACTAGAAAGAAAACTTTGGTGTTTTAAAAAACAAGTTCTTGGACAGGCTGTGTTCTGGTCCATTGTGGCTGGCTTTGCACAGGACATTAAATTATAGATTGCTTTACACACTGCATGGTTTTGCAAACACAGAAATTTTCCAGACAGAAGAATACGCAGAGTGAATTTATGTTGTAGTGGCAGCTCAGTCAGGTGCTGGAAGTTAAGTGAGAAAGTAGCCAGAATGGGAGAATCTCTGACTGATACCTTTCAGATGCTAGAGGACCCAGATGAGCTAGCAGTACTGGAAGAGATCCAACAAGAATTGATCTTGCAAGGTAAATTCTCTCTATGCTTTCATACTCCTATTTGATTTGTAATAGTCCTAACTTAATAGTCATCCAGACAAGCTGCAGCTGCACTCCTTGGTTCTCATACACTCTGTGATACAGAAGAGCCTCCTTGGAAATCTCTGTAGCCTCTAATGTGCTGAGACCCTTTTTGACAGTTTTAAGAATTTAAGTGGCAATTTAAGGTCTGTGAGCAGCTAATAAGAGAGGAAACCAGCAAAACAGCACTGGGGTGTTTGGGAACAGTAGGAACCTGTGTAACTCAATTCAGACTGTTTCTAAATTGTTTGGAAAGTAAGAAGCTACACCCTTGTGACCAACTAAAAAATGAGCCATAGGAAAAACTGGATTAATGAGAATTTCATCAAGTGGAGAAATCTGATCCAAAGAAAGAAAAGCTCAGAAGCTAATGGCTGCCTCAGCCTCCATCTACCAAGCAGGTTCACATGTGCTGCTTTGTCTTCAGCTCAGAGCAGGTGCCTGAGGGTATTTTGCTGTGTTATTGCAGAACAGTCCGTATTAGAAGAGTATGAGCAAAGCCTGCAGTTTGATGAAGAGTGTCTCAACGCGATGCTTGATGGTTTGGATACCAGCGACAAGGTCATCTGCCCTGTGTGTAGAAAGTAAGAAAGCCCTTGGTGTTGGAATGAGGTGCTCTGCTCCCATGCAGCAGTCTAGGCTTAGGAACAGGCAAAAGCAGTGGGCAAACAGGCCCCTGTGTGTGTCAATGTCCACAAAATTAAAAAATCTGAGCAATGATCTCCTCAATCTAACACTTTTTTACTAAAAATCTACCTTTGTTCTGGTTGTTGTGGTGATGCTTGTATGCTCTTTCTAGGAATAACCTGACTGTGAGGAGTCACTTGGTTTTTTGCCAGTGTGGACTATACATCAGCACACAGGTAAGCTATGCTCTGAGTAATGTGTTCAGTGTGACACCTGAAATCAGCTGCTGTGAAGAGGCAGTTTTAAACTACAGACAGCAACTTTAGTGTGTAACCCAATTTTCTCAGGGTATGACAGAAGAGAAGCTTCGGTCACTTCTAGAAAACACTCTAACAGAGCACAGTCACAGATGCTTTCACAACCCAGAGTTCACAGTGACCAGTGGAATGGAGGAAGAAACAAGTCTTCTCATGAGCTGTTCGGTGAGTTTAAATGTCAGATTCCTGGAAAGGAGCACTGCTTCGATCCACTTCTCAATTACATGGGCAGAAACCACAAGTCCATTGATCCCAGGGGTTTGTATTGCTAGTTTACCACAGACTTCCTTGGAAATGGTTTTACATTTGACCACCAATAACAGTAAAAAAGAGCCAAATTATATTTACCCTAACTGCTGGATTAAGGAATCTTTCAATGACCTGTCAAATTTAGTGCCATACCTTTCTCATACCTTAGCCAACAACTTCCAAGTCTTGTGTGGAGCAACTGTTCAGGTAAGTGGTTCATGAGGAAAAGTTTTTAAAAAATTACTTCAGTTTAAGCCTCCTCAGAAGACTTGCCCATACATCTTAGAAAACACAGGCCATCCTTTGGCTCAAGCTAGAGCTAGCAAGTTCTTGGCTTTGCTGCTTACATAAAATCACTGTGAGGGCAGAGTAGGAGCAGAGCATTTCAAATAATTTTGAACATTAATAACTTGTTTTATACATTGCTGTAGCTTCTCTTCAACTTAACTTTTCTAAAGGTCTGTGACTCCTGGACGATTCTTCTGTAAGTTGATTTAGCTGCTGTTTTACTGGAAGGACTCCAAGACTACAAATCCACCCAGAGCTGCTAGTATTTTTATGTATATACTTGTAACTGCTGTGTCAAAGATACATGAAAGGCTGTAGTACTGCCTTGACCTGCACTTTTAATGGCACAATATATATTTTGAAATAAATATACTTAGTTTATTTCAGCCTTAGTGTTGACCTTAATGCATCAGTGATCTCCATCTTTGGTTTCTGTTTAAACTTAGTATGAGCTTCAGGCAATGACTTGGGTTTGAGTAGCAGACTGCGGTGCTGCCCTGCAGCAGGGCCTTGGGCAGGAGCAGCCACAGCCTTGCTCCTGCTGCTGGAGCATCACAGGCAAACACAAACATCCTTTTTACAACAGCACTCTACAGCAGGAAAAAAAGAGAAACCACCAGTTTTCAGTGATATGTTGAACAGATTTTATTCTTCACATTCATTCTTAATTGTACAAAACCCATCAAGCAGGGTGATGGAACTCTGGACCTTAATGTCAGAGAACTTGATCTGGGCTGCAACATAAATACAAATCCCCAAATACAAGTGAAAATCCTCATTCTCCAAATTCAAAGTTACTTACTCTCAGTATCTGCTGTGAAGATGTATTTGGGTACTGCTGGCTGGAGCAGTGCTGTGGAATAACCACACTTTGAAGTTTCTTAGCCTAACCTACTGACATTTGACAAAGCTTTTAAGGTCTTCAAGGAATTTAATGTACTCCTGGTGCTCCAGTGCAGTACTGAGTTCTATTAACTCATCAGCAAAGGTGTTGTCAACTCCTCGATCAGCCAGGAAATCCATTAAGTGATCATACAGAGCCTGGAAGCAATGAACAGGAACCTTCCTTAGCAGAGCACACCTCCACAGGGTTGCTTTTAAAATGTCCCAAGGCAGGTGGCATTTCTCTCCTGGGAAGATCAGGCCCACCTCCCACAGGAAACCAAGCAGCTCCCCACCCCCTTCTCAGCAGGCCTGGGGTGTAACGTGGAGGGAAGGAGCCATATAGAGCAGGTCATCCAAAGCGCCAACATAAAAACAAGCTGCACCCTGGAGATGATCAACTGACTGCAGGAGTCAGCAGGTAAAGTCTGTCAGAGATCACATGTGCCAAGCCCTGCCTGTCCCCTCCCTATGAAGCTAGGGCCGTGGGGGTGAATTGCTTCAACAGCGTCTGGAAAGGGTTGTATCTGATAGAAATATTTGTAAGACTTAGGTCTTTTACAATCAACTACTTTTTTTCTTTTGAATCCTACTTAACTCTTGCAACTCCAATATACGTTAATGCTTGTGGGCTCCCCCTTGCTCCTTAGAACAGATTCATTATTACTGCTTAGTGTAGTCATGCTAATTAATACCTGTCTTTATGTTTTTTAACAGACCAATATTACCAAGCAAATTATTCATTTTGGACTTCTAATCTGAGTAGAACACAAATCATACACATTTTTTACTAATTTCCTGTCTCAAGTCAGAGAGAGGAAAAAAAATGTGTGTTCTAGAGCACACTAACCAATTCTAACATCAGTGGTTCCCAAAGAGAGATACACTCTAGGAGTAATTTTTTTAACCATACAATACACTGCTTCCAACTGAGATTTAAGCTTCTGAAAGCCTGGCATTGAGAATACATAAACACATGCCAGTTTCTTGGGTGTGCCAGGTGGTAGTGTCAGCACTATAAAAACATATCTGGAAAACCCAGAAAACAAAGACATCTACATGTAGCATCTGATAAGCTACATTGTTAAACACACACATCAAAAGATGTCAAAGTGTCTCCAGGAATTCAGTCCCTACAGCCTGGAACTGAACAAGCTTCAACATGTCTCTGAGTGCCAGTAATGTCACTTAGCACTGCGTGATGCTGGGACCATATAATAATCCTCAGTTTGCAGCAGAACCACTATCTCAGGGCCAGCAGGGGCATCCCCCATTTTGGGCAGCCAGGACAGGACTCAGCTGTAAGTAGGGAGCAGCTGGACAGCAGGCGAGAGAAGCTGAAGTGCCCTCTGCAGCCTGCGGCCACGCTGGCAGCACTTACCCAGTCGAGGGATTCCGTGTTGAGGGTGTAGTTGGTGTCCTTCCAATCTGATTCTCCAGTGGGCTGAAAACTGACCTCCTGAATTGTGAAAATATCACTTTCTTCCTCTCCCTCATGTCCGATCTGAAACAGAAGATGAGATGTAAGACACAGAGCTAGCTCTAACTGCCAGGCGCCTTCAGCCATCTCATCCTGGAGCTGGGAATGTTACACTGCAGGCAAAAACCCAACTGTATGAAAGCAGTGCCCCCCCTCAGCGTGTGCCTGTCAAGACAAGTGCAGCCATGCAGGGGAACACAGGAAATCCTGTCAGGCTACCAGCTCCTGCTGCCCGAAGCAACCTGATGTAAACCAGCAGCCTGATTTTTACAAAGATGTAAAAACCTCTTCTAGTTCTCAATCAGATTTCACAAATCTGTCCAACCTTTGTCATCTAGGACTGGCTGCAGAAATGATCTGTTAAGGCTCACAAAATAAACCAAAAAGATCAGTCTGAAGCAAAGCTCTGAATTTTATTCCCCTTCTGGACCTTTTTTTTTAATCCCTGCTTCTCTTTATGATACCTCACAAGGATGAGATTTGCAAGTTACTGACACGCTGTATTAAATTCTACCTTCTTTTGGCCATTCTCATTTACCCTCCTCAAGCTGCTATGCTGTTAGCCCTGCTTCCCTTCTCAAAACTTAATTCATAAATGGGCCAATAAGCAGCTGATCAGAAATGCCAGGTCGGGATGCGAGGAAAGCACCGGAACATCTCAAAGAGTTCTTGCAAACAAAGCCTTTTCGTGTGTGTGTGTGTGTGTGTGTGTGTGCGTGCGTGCGTGCGTGCGTGCGTGTGTGTGTGTGTGTAAAAAAAAAAAAGAAGAGAACACTGCATTTTGTGCAGATTCAGAAAACCAACATGCTACAAAGAGTAGCACAAGGAGGAAACCGGCAGCAAGTCACAGCCCAGAGCTGGTCATGGCTGACACACGACCGCCTTGATACCCACCTCATCTTCAGGAAAACGGCAGTCAAGAACCAGGGTCTGTTTGGTATCATCTTTTATTACTTCCACAACAAAGTTTGGAGTTGATGTAAGATCGGGCTAAATAAGAGAAAAATTGCATCAGCACTGGAGGCCGAACAGGAGCCAAAGTGGTGACAATAAGCCCAGCAACAGCCCACCCAGCACAGGCTGCTCCCCGTCACCCTGGAGTCTCTGACCTGGCCAGGGCAACCTAAACTTCCCTCCACCTCGCCAAAGGCCCTTCAGCCTCTGCTCTGCGCCTGGCCACACGCGTGAAATGGCAGCTGGGAGCACCGGCCACCTCCTGACAAGTCCGAGCGCCTGCATCTCCTCGGGACGTGTCCCTCCAAATCGACAGGAGCTGGGAACATCGTTCTGAGAGCAGGAGCTGCTCGTGCCTGCCCTCCTCCCTGGGGGACACCCGGCAGGGCACAGCCACTGCCACGCACCCCACGTGCACTGCGCCATCGCAGCGGGCACAGCCTGGTCCCGGGGGAGAAGCAACACACAAGTGTCCCCAGTACTGTCCCACCCAGCTGAAATAAACACTGCCCTTCAGAAAGTTCACTGCTACAAACCCCACACGATGCAGCTGCATTCCTGACTCGTTGGGCATCAGTGTCACTGCAGCTGAAGTCATCTGCCTCAAATTATATTGCTTGTTTACAGTTTTTACCAGTATTTTTACTAACAGAGTTTGATTAAACAGGAGACACTGTTGACCAACAAAACCACTCCAGTGAAGTCGTGTGAATAGCTTTGGTTTGGTGACACTGCCGACCGGCACAGCGAGTTACACTAGCCAAGTATTTATTAGTATTTTATTGCAGAGAATTGCAAAAGTCTGAGATATCCCAGCTCCCCTCACTTCTCGTGGAGCCCTCTCACCCTGCTCTGCCTGTCTGCTGCAGAGAGGAGGGTCACAGCCGACCCAGCAAAATCTGCATTACTGCTCCAAGGATCAAGTGAGAGGAAAAAAACACCTTAACACTTAAGGGCGAGGTTCTAGCTTCCCTCTGTGCCTGTCCCTAAAGTGCACATCAATATAAATTTACCTCCTGCTCATCAGGTTTCTGCTCTTCTTGTGTTTCTTCCTCAGCTGAGGGTGGAATGCTGTTATTGATGTTGAATGTAACCGTTATCCTTCAAAAGAAACAGAAGCAGTTACTTGGAGCACACTCACAAAAATACCCATCGAAGTTTTTTCTATTTAAAGCTTTTGTTTTGGGGACAGCGTTCCTGGTGTTGAATTCACACTCCGTGTACAAGACCAGGTTCTGCAGTTACGAGACACACCTAGGCGAAGCCAGCTTCCTCCACCTGCTCTCACAAACAAGCAGTTTTCAGGTTTTACTGGACCAAGCTGTTATTTTTAACGCAGGAACACGGCACTAAACTTTGTAACGCACAATGCAGCAGCGAACTTATGTGGAAAAAAAAAAAAAACCCTGCCTTTGACCCCAGGTGGTAAAACAGAGTCTCTGCAACGTCTGGTTTGCACAGGCGGCAATAAAATAACATGAGCAGGAGCAGAAATGTGGTTGCTGTCGCCTCCCGGGGCCACACTCACCTCTCCCCGGCCACCTTCCGCACCAGCTTGGCCTCCGTGCCGTGGACCTCCAGCTCCCACCCCCCGGAGATCTTGGGCAGGGATTTGTGTTTCTGGATCTTCTTCTCCTCTTTGATCTCATCCGTCAGGAACTGCGCGAAGGCTTTGTCGCCTGGCGGGGAAAAGGCGAGGGGGGTGTTGAGGGAAGGGCCCCCCCCACCACGTGCTGCCCGGGAAGGGCCC